GATATCAGGGTCCTGAGTAGGTTCAAGGCTGGATATCAGGGTCCTGAGTAGGTTCAAGGCTGGATATCAGGGTCCTGAGTAGGTTCAAGGCTGGATATCAGGGTCCTGAGCAGGTTCAAGGCTGGATATCAGGGTCCTGAGCAGGTTCAAGACTGGATATCAGGGTCCTGAGTAGGTTAAAGGTTGGGTATCAGGGTCCTGAGTAGGTTCAATGTTGGGTAAATAGGTCCTGAGCAGGTTCAAGGTTGGGTATAAGGATCCTGAGCAGGTTCAAGTTTGAGTATTAGAGTCGTGAGCATGTTCAAGGTTAAGTGTCCGGATCGTGAACAGGTTCGAGGTTGGGTATCATGGTCCTGCGCAGGTTCAAGGTTGGTTATCAGGGTCCTGAGCAGGTTCAAGGTTGGGTAAAAGAGTTCTGAGTAGGTTCAAGATTAGGTATAAGGGTTCTGAGCAGGTTCAAGGTTGGGAATAAGGGTCCTGAGCAGGTTCAAGGTTGGCTATCAAGGTTCTGAGCAGGTTCAAGGTTGGTTATCAGGGCCCTGATAACCAACCTGGTCTGGTATAGGAAGGGATAGGGGGGGGAGAGGAACTATATACCGGTTTGGTATAGGAAGGGATATGAGAGGGGGGAGGAGGGGAACTATATATCGGTCTGGTATAGGAAGGGATAGGAGTGGGGGAGTACTATGCAGTTTGAACCCTCTAATAAGTGCATTGTATTCATATTGCATAAACCCTATTGTAAACATAATAAACAAGATGCAGTAAATGCTATGCAGTACAAATCTATTCATCTATAAAGCCTTACCATTAATAATTAGAAACATCTTTAGAGCTATATCAGCTTCCTACACCCATAGAGCTATATCAGCATCCCTACGCCCATAGAGCATTATCAGCATGCCTACATCCTTAGAGCTATATCAGTATCCCTACACCCATAGAGCTATATCAGCATGCCTACATCCTTAGAGCTATATCAGCATGCCTACACCAATACAGCTATATCAGCATGTCTACACCCATAGAGCGTTATCAGCATGCCTACATCCATAGAGCTATATCAGCATGCCTACATCCACAGAGCTTTATCAGCATGCCTACATCCATAGAGCTTTATCAGCATGCCTACATCCTTAGGGCTATATCAGCATGCCTACATCCACAGAGTTTTATCAGCATGCCTACATCCATAGAGCTATATCAGCATGTCTACATCCATAGAGCTATATCAGTATGCCTACGCCCATAGAGGTGTTATCAGTATCCCTACACCCATAGAGCTATATCAGCATGCCTACATCCCTAGGGCTATATCAGTATGCCTACGCCCATAGAGGTTTATCAGCATGCCTACATCCACAGAGCTTTATAAGCATGCCTACATCCATGAGCTATATCAGCATGTCTACATCCATAGAGCTATATCAGTATGTCTACATCCATAGAGGTTTATCAGTATGTCTACATCCATAGAGCTATATCAGTATGCCTACGCCCATAGAGGTTTATCAGTATCCCTACACCCATAGAGGTTTATCGGCATGCCTACATTCTTAGAGCTTTATCATAATGTCTACACCCTTAGAGCTTTATCATAATGTCTACACCCTTAGAGCTTTATCATAATGTCTACACCCTTAGAGCTTTATCATAATGTCTACACCCTTAGAGCTTTATCATAATGTCTACACCCTTAGAGCTTTATCATAATGTCTACACCCTTAGAGCTTTATCATAATGTCTACACCCTTAGAGCTTTATCATAATGTCTACACCCTTAGAGCTTTATCATAATGTCTACATCCTTAGAGCTATATCAGTATGCCTACATCCATAGAGCTATATCAGCATGTCTACATCCATAGAGCTATATCAGTATGCCTACGTCCATAGAGGTTTATCAGTATGCCTACATCCATAGAGCTATATCAGTATGCCTACGCCAATAGAGGTTTATCAGCATGTCTA